GCCCCAGGTGAGCTGCCTGCCTCTGCCTTTCAAAGTGCTGGGATTACAGGTGTGAGCCACCATGCCTGGCTGTAAATTTATTCCAGTACAGTTTTATTATAATTTATCAGGGTCAACTGGGAAAGAAAGAATTCTAGAAGAAAAGTGCTTGAAAAAAATGGAGGCCTAAGAGATTGTGGCATATTCAGAGAATTATAAGTGGTTCTGCCTTGCTGGAGGGTGAAGTAAGAGGGATCCTGCAGTTTGACTTACACGTATTTAATTGACAGAAATTGCAGTGGAAATACACAAATATTTATGTAAGATGGTGTCTAGTGTAGCACTGTTAAAAAGTTCTCAAAACAGGAAATAATCATTATTAACTTAATCCATCATTATGGGACTGCTGAAAAATCTCTGATTTATTCATGTAATGTATGATTTCCCAATGTTAAATAGAGTGAGTTACAGCTGTTTCCAATGACTTAGAAAGATGCCCACAATAGTATTAGGTTACAAAACAAGTCATAAAACAATAAGATACTATCTCATGTTTGTAAAAACAGCCAATAAAAAAATGTTTTGACTTAGAATGTGTTTTAGTATTAGGCTGAGTATGTTGACGGCTCCAATTCTTCATTCCTCTCTTTATCCCTGCCATTTTCCATGGACTTTCTGGTTTTTTCATCTGGAGTGGTTTTCCTGTTTCATGATACTTAGTTTATCCATGTGACTTGCTTTGGCCAATGGAACATTAGCACTTGTGATATAAGTAGAGACTTGAAAAATCATCACCACTGTGAGGACATGTCTGGACTAGCCTTCTGAAGGATGAAAGACAGATGGAACAGAGTCAAGTCACCTCAGTTATCCCAGGAAAGCCTTCCCTAGGTCAGCCTTCAGCCAGCTAATTCCTTGTGCACAGGCTCAGCCAAGATCAGCAGAGCCATCTGGTCGACCCACAGCTGACCACAGACATATAAGCAAGGCCAGCTGAGATCCCAAGTTAGCCTGGATCAGCTAAACACTGCAGACTTACAAATAAATAACCATTATTGTATGTCTCTGAGGTTTTGTGGTAATGTTATGAAGCATTATTTTAGCCATAAATAACTGATAGGCTATATTTGTACACAATATGTTCTTACCAAAAATCTGGACAGATACATAACAAATTATTAACAGTGGTTACCTCTAGGGAATGGAATGGTTGGTTAACATTGTAATTCCACACATGAAAAGTATTGATGTCCTCTCTAAGAAACTGAATTGCTGTTTCTGCTTTGATCCATTTTCTCCCCTTAATGTGTTCTTAAAACACCAAAAATAGATAAAATAGGTCTTGATCCTGGTGGCTGCCTAGGGCCTTAAGATTAAGCCTAAATGATTGCAGAACTAACATTCTCAGAAATTTAAGAATAGTTGGCTTTTGTTCTTCTCTACCAGGCTAATAGGCTGAACATCAGTGAATGAGACACTTAACCACTATTTTAGCCATTTTTCCTTATTTATAAAGCTGCAAACGGCTCAGCTGGGGGTGAGATCACTGAGATAATGATTATGTCTGTCATAAATAGAAACAGCCATGTAAGAAACTGTTAAAAGTACTCAATGTTCTTTATAAATGTGTTATAAGTTGAAAGTGCTTAGAATAGCAATGATGATGATGATGATGATAATTTGTTAATTTTAAGCCACACTAAGAGCCAGCTGCCATATGATCTATCAATCTTCTTGAGATTGACTTAATTTGGCCTTTTAGAGGATTAAAATAGCTGAGTTATTTTATAAATAAGTGGATACTGATGTATAGTTATTTCATTCATTCATGCCAACTCTCTGGGAGAAAACTTAATTCTTGTTTTAATCTTTAGCAAGTCTAGAAAAAAAAATAATCACAAGTTATTGATGTGGTTTGGTTGCTCACCCCACATTAAGCTTCAACCAATAGCTGGAACCAATGGCAAGACGTTTAAAATAACTGTAGACATCCAAAAGGTCAGAGGGTCTTCTGTGTGAAACACAGAACTTATTAGAGGTAGTAGGATGGGAAAATAGTATGAAAATATGTCAGGGTTGAGGGTTAAAAGTACCTGGTTCCATCTCCTAATAATGATGTGTCCCTAAGTTTCTTAATTTCTGTGTCCTAGTTTCCTCATCTTTCTATTCCTCATTGAATAGAAAGAATGAATAGAAATTCATGTTATAGAAATTAAATTCAGACACTTGCCACCACCTCCACACATCTACCCTCTACTTAATAAAATGGCTGGTAAAGGATCAATAAAGAATGGATATGCTATTGCTATTGACACTCTTCATGTCTCTTATGCTATTGCTTTGACTCATTCATTTCCCTTTCCCCTGTATGCCATTACTTTCTAATGTCTGCTTAAGCAGTGATATGAAACAAAATCTGATACACTTTGGGATAGTTCCATTATCATCCAATCCTCTTAAATCTATAGTATGTTTGAGGGGAAACAAGCCTCTGAAAATTGTATCCGTCCTACTGCACATTTGAATATTATAAGACCCTGGTCAGAGGACATAAGGTCACTTGCTCAATGTTATATCAACAGAATAGGAACAAAAATCTAGGACCCTATCCTCCAGGCCATAGCAACCTCTAAAATATTTCCCAAACCATCTACGTCTATAGAACCAGTCCATAATGAGCTAACAATGCTGAGGAATACGCAAATATGTTCATTTAGAGTTTTGTTTTTTTTTTTGAGATGGAGTCTGGCTCTGTCACCCAGGCTGGAATGCAGTGGCACAATCTCAGACCACTGCAACCTCCACCTTCTGGGTTCAAGCGATTCTCCTGCCCCAGCCTCCCAAATAGCTGGGATTACAGGCATGCACCACCAGGCCTGGCTAATTTTTGTATTTTTAGTAGAGATGGGGTTTCCCCATGTTGGCCAGGCTGTTTTCTAACTCCTGACCTCAGGAGATCCTCCTGCCTCCCAAAGTGCTGGGATCATTTATATTTTTAAGTATTTATTCATTGGAAAACTAGAACAATATCCCCGTATGTTGAGTTTGGTGCGAGTTGGTTCTGAAAACCTCAAACCTTCCAACCAAAAGCAACTTCATGTGCTTCTTTCCAAATTCTCTATGGTTTATAAGCATTCTGTTGGGCTTCCCCAATCCCAGACATCCTTCCTTCTACATGGCAGCAGCCATGTAGTTCTGTGGTGGCAGAACTCCCAAACTCTGGCTTCTGAGTTTCAGCCACCATTTGCCTCTTGGCCGGGTTGATCTGCAGACTCCATTAGAAGTCCCTCTGCTTTGTGTTCCACTTTCAGATTCTTTGCAAATTGCTCCTTTGTTTTGAGGGGCACAAAAACTGCCTGAGCTTCCCTGCCCCAGTAGGCAGGATGTTCTGTACTTTCAGATGTCTCAGCCCTTCTAAAATGTAGTCTTGATCTTGGGAAAAGAAGTAATTAGCCTGATGGGAAATAAACTGCTGTTTCAGCAATTTTCTCACTACTGGGTTTTGAAGTAACAGAGGGCCAGGCAGGTCAGAAAGAAGTTGAGTGCTCTTGAGTTTCAATGCCCCACTAAGCTCACATAGCAACTACTGGCACTCAAAGCTCATTAGTTCTAACCCAACATTGCTAAGCACCCTGAGTGATGAATCGCTTTCATGGACACGTAGAGAGGCATTTGTTAACGTTTAACCTCAAAGTGCCCTGCATGGCCTTCAAGACATAGGTCTTACAAGTTGATATGAACTTGAAGAAAGAGTACACCAAGCGCTATAACAGGAAACATGGGCCTACATTGTGGGGTCCTCATATAGACAAAAATCTCTCTAACTATCCCTCTTAGAAGAACTTTATCATATTGTTACAGGTAATATTCCTCTCTTCTTGGTAACCCTAAGATTGAGGGAAGTGTTTTTAGATCTGTGGATACAATTCTTTAGATATGGGTTTCACAACCCCAACACTATTGACATTCCAGTAATTCTTTGTTTGGGGGCTGTTCTATGCATTGCAGAATTTGGGCAGCATCTCTGGACTTAATAGATAGATACCAATAGCAACCTCCCTTCCCTCCACTCCCCCTCCAGGGTGTGAAAACAACCACTAGGGTCTCCAGACGTGGCCAAATGTCTCCTGGGGGAAAAATTTGCCCTCTGATGAAAACAACTGCTTTAGAAAATTGCCACCAATCTTTAATTTAAAAAGTGAAATGTGGTAAAATAGGATCCAATAAAAAATATCTGACAACATAGCATAAGAGACAGTATTGTTTCATTAACATGTATGCATATACTCATTTGTTTGTTTGTATGGATATGCATATAAATAATGTGGATTATGGTAAAAAAAAAAGGTTAACAATGCTAAGAGTATCTTGACCCTCAGAAAGCCTATTATTTATCTATGCTCTTACTAAGAGATGGGTTATAGTCTCCCATTTAGAAATCTCTATTTCTCTTCAATATTGTATTATATGCTTTTGTTTGGTTGTTTTTAATTTAATATGATTTTCTTTCAACAAGTAATGGGCACTTTGTTTTCTACCTTATTGAGACAAGTGTAGGATTTCTGTCTACTTTAGATAACATAAAATTATCAAAACAAAATATCATGGGTCATCCAGGAGATTAGGGAGTCTTTATGTTGAGAGCAATAGCAAAATATGTGTAAAGCTGCCAAGTCTTGCCATCTTTGGGCTTACTATTTCAGGAGACAATGATTAAGCAATGTGTATTTCAATCTCACTTTATAGACACATGACACAGGTTCGATGGTTAATACCAACTCAAATTACACAAGGAAATGGCATTTGCTGTCAGTTGGGGACACAGGTATGAACACATAAAAACTCAAACAGTACAGAACAGCAAAATAATATTTAATGACACCAATGCTGTTTCAAGTCAAGTCAAGCTTCATAGACAAAAAAGCAAAACAGAAAAGCAACTATGAAAGATAACCTTTTCAGTTTTGGCCTTAAGTTTGTGGTAACCACAGAACACAGAAGTGGAGTTTTATCGAGAGTGGAAAAGCACATATTCAAGCTAAAATAGACAGCTAGGGTGAGTGAGAAATGCTGAATACTTAAAGTGGAAATGGGTCAAGATAAGAACGAACAGGAGGTACAAAGCACGAAGTTATACAAGTTAGGAGGTTCACAGAAGAGAGAAGATGAACTACGTCTCAAGAGTTCAGCATCTGAGACTCTAGAATCAAACCAAAGACCAAGTGAAGCTTTGTCTATTTTATTCTTAAATATTTCCTTTCTAGAAAAAAAAATCCCAATCTGCATTTGAAGATATGGCCATGCAGTTGTGTGGAAAGTGGGTGAAACAAGAAGGAAAAGAAGAAGAACATAGCCGGTCTAGTTAATTTCTTGAGCAGGAAACTGGATCAGTTACCTCAAACGAATAATGTAACAATGAGTAAGACAAAGCCTGGATATTTGAGAGCCCACACTTGGGGTAAAATTAGGAAGACAGTGGGTGGTGTCATACAGAAGAGGAAACAAAAGGGGTGCCAGAAATCATTTTAAAATGTGCCTATGATCTGCAGTGTTGAATATCAAATGTTGCAAAGATGCTGAGAAATAGATCTGGCAATGGTGGACTGCTGTTGTCCCCCCGGAAAGAAGTTTCCCTGGAATTTGTGCCCTCCACGTTAAGAAAGGTTTTCTGGGTGCTACAGGTAAGAGTTAGTTTTACACAGAGAAATCTCCAATAGTTTTATCTCAGTACATTTTTGCCTTTTTCAGTTGGTTGTTTTTAATTTGAATTGCATTTCAATAACGGATGCCTCCTTTGTCTCCCACAGAGAGTTTTAGTAATTTGCATCTTTCTGTAGAGAATTTATTTCAGATATATTTAAAATTCATTATTGTAGAGTTATATCATGTATGTTTTATAGTTTCTTTGTTATCTTTGGCCATATCTAGTCTCATTGTTTTATTACTTTTTGTTCTTTTTCAAGTTTTTGGGCATAAATGTTTGTTTACCCATTTTCTTTCTTTCTATCTTAATATTAAAATATGTAAAAATGTGAATTCATTCTACTTACATCACTGACTGTTGAAATATGATAGGTATATAGTGCTATCATTTGGATCTTACTAAATGGTCTTTAACTGCATGTTTGATTTCCTTTTTAAAGTTAAAAAAATAATTTTTAACCTTATATTGATTTTATTAATTTTATTTTACCTTTGTTATTACTTTTCACTCATAGAGTGTGAGTTTATGGCCAAAATACAAACATTGTACAAATATTTCACAGACTTTTGAAAAGATTATTTTCTGTTTGTAGATAAGTAGCCATCTGATACCTATTTATCAGATCAAAATTAAGCATCCATATTTGAGAGAGGGCCTCATTCTGTCACCCAGACCAGGGTGCAGTGACACAATCTCAGCTCACTACAGCCTTGAGCTCTAGGGCTCAAGGGATCCTCCTGTGTCAGTCTCCTAAGTAGTTGGGACTATAGGCACACACTACCACACCTGGCTAATTTTTGTATGTTTTATAGAGATGGGGTTTCACCATGTTGTCCGAGCTGGGGACTCTGGTGATCTGCCCACCTCAGCCTCCCAAAATGTTGGGATTACAGGTGTGTGCCACCAAGCCCAGCTTAAGCATATTTTTGATATTTCTAAATTTATTCTCGTTTTTCCAATTGCTCTGGCAAAAGTTCAAATCAGTGTATTAAAATATTCCAGTACTGTGGAATATTCTGTATCAGTGCTGTGGTATTTAAAAAAAAAATTTCTACATGTTCTATGGATTGTATCAAAGTCAGTTTCCTGATTTTGATATGGTGCTGTAGTTATACAAGGTGATAACATTGGATAACATTGGGAGAGACTGGGTGAAGGGTACACAGGAACTTTCTGCGAAATGTATTTACATTCCTACAAATCTGTAATTGTTTCCAAATAAAAGTAAAAGTAAATAAATCACACCAAATCTCAGCACCTTGGGAGGTCAAGGCAGACGGATCACGAGGTCAGGAGTTCGAGACCAGCTTGGCCAACATGGTGAACCCCGTCTCTACTAAAAATACAAAAATTAGCCAGGTGTGGTGGCGGCTGTCTGTAATCCCTACTTGGGAGGCTAAGACAGGAGAATTGCTTGAACCCAGGAGGCGAAGGTTGCAGTGAGCCTGGGCAATAAGAGTGAAACTCTGTCTCAAGCAACAACAACATTAAAATAAATACATAGATAAATAAATAAATACAGTCACGGCTTGCATTTCTAACAGGTTTCACATCCTATGTTTTGATGTTAGTGGTTATGCCATCTACTACATGAAGGTTCATAAATATAAGCTGCAAATTGTACCCTTGATTATTAACAACAGACATCTTTGTTTCAGTCCACGTCTTTACCTTATTTTACTTTGCCTGACGCTGATGTCGTTACCCCAGCTTGCTTTCTTTTACTTTCTTTCTTTCCTGTCTTGGAGTGTGTATGTGTGGGTGTGTCTGCACACTCACAAGTCTGGCGAGTCAACTTTTACCATCCTACATTTTTAAGCTTATTTTCATATTGTTTTAGTGTGTCTGTCACAAATAAGAAATAACTATCCCAGATTGTTATTCCTCTGATTATGATATAATTTTAGTTCATTCATTTTTATTGTTATGCCTTAACTTTATACCTTAACCATATCAGCTAATTTGGACAGTTAAAAATTATTATCATAATTTTTTTTCCTTAAAACTGTAATATTAGGCTAATGCTTCCTGACATGTAATATTTTGATGAAGACATCTAATGCCAGCATTATTTTTTTTCTTCTGCAAACTGTTTTTGTCATCTAGATAATTGTAAGGTTTTTGTTTGTTGAGGTTGTTGTTTTCCCTTCATCCCTTGATTAAACTTTTCTCTTTAGAATCAGGGTACATTTAGGCCACTTTCATTACTTTTGCATGATACTCTGTTAACCTTTTCAAATTACAGACTGAAATCCAGAGAAAACAAATTAGAGATTTTCTCAGGTTTTCTCCCATTTCATACTGAAACTCTATATCATAGAGGCTCAGGAAAGGAAGACATTCATTCTGATTCCTCCAATTGACTGTGTTCTTCTAAACGACTGAGTTTTATGTTTGATCATGTTCCTTCCTGCTGACCTTACAGGGCGCCAGAGGTGAATCTCTATTTGTTCATATTTCGGACTGAAATGGCTTCTGTTTTTCTGAGCGCCTGTTGAAATCTGTCAAGGCTAGAGGAAGGAGGAAGAGAAACGTTACCTTTTTTTTTTTTCCAGTGATTTACTTTATCAAATTAGAAGTTAAATAAATATCCCAAGAGGAGGAGGCAGGGAGAGAGCACGGGAACTAGTATATCCAAGGCTGAGACCTGATGCTGACTCCATTAGCCCCCAGCTGTACCTGACATGATATCCTAGGAGAGTGAGAGATCAGTGCTCCAGGACCCAACCTGGCCATATGCAAGCCTGAATCCTGCTTGTTCAATCCTGACCCTTGGCGTCTCTCCAGGACAATCTTAGAATCTGCCCTCTGTCACTGCATTGCAGTGTGCCCTTCCTGGGGCCTGGTGTCTGAGCTCGGGGGTTTGCTGATGGTCCCTTCTGCTTCCTTCCAAGAACACGCTTTCCTTCAGTGAGTCCCGTCCCAATTTCCCCGTTGCTGTTGCCTCAATCCAACTTCCCTGCATTGTATCTTAGAGAATGTATGAACTCTTTGCTAAGTAGATGGTGATTATTCTTTTTCCATTACTGACAGTGCTTTTTCCTTATTGCTACTATTTCTTTGGCCATGTCACTGGGAATTTTGGGGGAAGGAAAGACTTACAAGCAAAAGTTTATATTACCACATTGAACTAGGATGCAACTCTAATTTTCTTTTTTTTATATTATTGGGTTGGCCTGTGATTAATTGTCATTTCCTCAAGGTTAAAAAATATATGGCCAGGCACAGAGGCTCATGCCTGTAATCCCAGCACTTTGGGATTCTGTATCAGCACAGGGTTCTCCATGTTGGCCAAGCTGCTCTTGAACTCCTGACCTCATGATCTACCCGCCTCGGCCTCCCAAGGTGCTGAGATTACAGGTTATTTATTTACTTTTACTTTTATTTGGACATAATTATAGATTTGTAGGAATGTAAATACATTTTGCAGAAAGTTCCTGTGTTCCCTTCACCCGGCTTCTCCCAACGTTATCACCTTGTGAATCACGAGGTCAGGAATTCGAGACCATCTTGGCCAACATGGTGAAACCCTGTCTCTACTAAAAACACAAAAATTAGCTGAGTGTGGTGGTGCATGCCTGTAGACTCAGCTACTTGGGAGGCTGAGACAAGAGAATCACTGGAACTTGGGAGGCAGAGGGGTAGCATCACTACACTCCAACCTGGCAGCAGAGCAAGACTCTGTCTCAAGGAAAAAAAAAATTCTCCTCACCTGAGGGTACTAGACAAGTTAGAGTGACATGAAAGCCACTCACAGTGGTCATTTTCTATGGGGGCTGCCACACACCTTGCGGCTGGCTGGGCACTCTTTTGGGGATTGAGAACCCCGTTTTCAGAAACTTCCTGCACAACCTGTGCCAGCCCCAAACAATCTACCTGCGTTGGCTTCCTCAAGCCACAAGAGCTGAGGCTGGCTGTGTGTGGGAAACAGCAGGTCCCAGGAACGGAACACAAACAGTCTGCGTCTGCGCTTACCTTCCACTCCTCTCATTCATTCCTTTAAACTGATTTTCTTTTTTCTCTCCTGCCTGGGCTTTAAAGACACTGAACTACCGTCCTCTCTGCTATGTCCACAAAATGATTCTTTAGTAAAAGGGGATGGAGGGCATGGAGCATGAAAAAAAAAAGAGATAGAATACCCAAGGGACACAGAGTTGATTCTGTCTAATTACACTTTTTAAATTCCCCTAATTGCTCTGTTTAATTATTGATGTGGAAAGTGTTTCCTTTTAGGGAGGGAGTTAAGTAATCAAGAGCCCTGAGGACCAAGAAGACAGACATCACCTGCTCTGGGTTTGGTAATTAAGGCATTATCTGTCACCCTGGGAGCAGAGTGAACCCTGGTGGGAGAGTGAAGCCCCCCCCCCGCCACGCCCTGCTCCCCGCAGCACAAAGATCGCACACCACAAAGTGCCAAGGGCCCAGGGTCTTTGGAAATGCATCTAAGATAACCTCACAGCCCAGCAGCTTCTAGGAAGGCCGATTGATCAGCAGAAAGGGAAGCAAACTGCTGCGATGTATTCCCATTCTGCTCATTGATTTTCTTCCTTTCACAAACATTTGTTTGTAGGCTTCCAACTATGGCTGCAGCAGATCCAGCTTTGTGGATTCTTGCTCCCCTTTATTATCTATAATTGTGTGGGGACTTCAAGTCACAAAAGGCTAATGTTTAAAGTGTCAATGCTCTTGGTTGCTGTTTGCTTTTTTGGGAAATGTATAATTGAAGTACAATGACCTACTGCATATACCACAATATCACTAATAGTGTATGTGTGTGTGTGTGTGTTTTGAGAAGTTTCACTCTTGTCCCCCAGGATGGAGTGCAAAGATTCGATCTCAGCTCATTGCAACCTCCATCTCCCGGGTTCAAGTGATTCTCCTGCCTCAGCATCCCGAGTAGCTGGAATTACAGGTAACTGCCACCATGCCCAGCTAATTCTTTTTTGTATTTTTAGTAGAGATGGGATTTCACTATGTTGGCCAGGCTGGTCTCGAACTCCTGACCTCGTGATCTGCCCTCCCAGCCTCCCAAAGTGCTGGGATTACAGGTGTGAGACACCACGCCCAGCCTAATATTCTCCTTATTTTTTTTTTTTTGCAGTTATCAATAGTCATTCTTCTTAGCCCCCAGAAATAGGCAGTGCCTCCTGGGGTGGCCAGATACATGTATACTGATCCACGTTATTGAATGTAGAAGGAGATCTACTAGCTTCTGATTTGGGATCCAATTCAGTATGGATCATACAGTCAGGGAAGTCATATGCTATATGAGTAACACAAGTCTCCATTCCTAATATGTGAAATGTGAAGGCTGCACTGCATGGACTCCAAAGTCCCATCTACTGCTAACATTCTGGATATGTGCGTCAAGGAATAAAAACTCTGGCAGGCAAAAAAAAGGATGGGAAATGTGACAGGCACAGAGATTTGCTACTCAGATCACCATTCAGGAAAGGACTTGCTTGCCATCCGGCTGTGTGATATGTGGGCAGCTGATAGGTTCCATCTGTTAGAGCCTTTAGAGTCCATCTCACTAGCGAGCTCATATTTGCTCAGAGCAGATCTTGGTCAATAGTGGAACAAGGTGATGGCACAAAGCTTAGCCCAGGGACATTTTTGCTTAGTCATCTTTGCTCCACTGCTCCCCATTGGTCTGGCAGAGACTGTCAGGTCTGCATGGAGGTTGGCCCAATCCAGCTTTCCTCCTTTTTCTTTTCCAGATTTCCCTCTCTAAGATACCTTTTGTACTTCTATCTCCACCTCAGGATCTGCTTCCTGGAGAACGACCATGGTGACAGAGGATGAACTAACTGCAAAGTATCGTGCAACAACACAGAAGAGGATGTGATGGATCCAACCACTGGGAGAACTGAGGAAGGCAAAGTCATGGAGGAAAGGGCATTTGAGTTGACTTTGAAGATGAATAGGAGTTGAATGACTAGGAAAGGAAAAAGGCATTTCAAGCAGCGGGATGGACACATGCAGAAAGGCATGATATAAAGAGCAGGATGTGGGAGCACGGGTAATGCATGGAACCATGTAGGCGTGTGCAGTGGTGGGGGCAGGGAGTGACGCAGGGAGATAAAGCTGGGAAATACGGGATCCAAGATAAATAGCTGTCACAAACACCCTATGTATATACTTCTATTGGTTGGTAGACTCTGATAAAGGGAAGTGGTAGCCCTGGGAAAAGAATGAGCTGCACACAGCAATAAAATATGGAGAATTCCATAGCACAGTATTTTTGACAGCCGTAAAAAAGATATTTTACTTCTATGTAGGTGGTTTCCTTGAAAAAATAGCACCTGTTATTTGTTAGGGAGAGAATGAATTGCTTGTCCCATGGTACAGTAAAATCAATCATATTGTAACACCAATCTATCACGTAAAATTAATTCTCTAGGCCCACGTTTTGAAGAAAGAAAATGGTAGTTAATATCCCTATTTCTGACTACTTATGCAAGAGGAGAAAAAGACATGCTTATGTGGTTCTAAAATAACTTCCTTAAGCCCATTACCAAATTCTAACAAGGAAGACCATCCATCCTAAAGAAGCTATTTTATAAATCATAATTTGCTTTAATTAAAAAAAATTTCCCAAACTGCATTCCAAGAAACACAGAGTCCCTTGAGTTTTTTATTAAAATGCTTCCCACTGTCATCGTAATATGGGAAACACTGTATATGACAAATCCCATTTGATTTTTCACAGTGAATCTTAGAAGGTCCACAGACTTTAAAAGTCTACTGTAAAAAAAATCTATTTAGGTTGGGTGAATTCATTTTCCATTCATATTTGATCACAAAATCCTCCTATCTTCATAACTCCCATGAACAATATGGAAGTCACACTATAAGGAAAATATTTTGTGGGTTGATTTTGAGGAATTCAAAAGCATTTCATATCAAAACTCGCAGAACACAACCCTAAAGTTTCCTTGTAAATGTTTTAGGGTCACCCCATGAAATGAGAGGGCGGCTAAGCAGGTGGGTTCTAGAGCCCCCCACCCTAATTCAATCATCATGGATTATATTATGTATTAAGAATTTGTAACATACTTTTTAAAGAAAAAGAATGAGTTCTAGTGCTGCAAACATTTGAAACCACAGCAGTAATCAATCAATCTAACCACACACACACACACAGAGGCATATATCGACCATTAGGAAAAGGAGAATGACCAGGGGCCTGATCTCAGAGGAAGAAATGCCCCCCTTTTCATCCCTTTGAATAGATGCAACACAGCGTTTCCAAGGGGCATTCCTGCTCAGACATATACAATCCCACCTAAAACACAGTTCTTATTTTTAGCTTTGAATGAAGTTAAGAGGAAATTGCAAGGCTCATTATCACTAATCCTTTGAGGTATCAACGATGTCTACAAATGATATCCAGAAAAGATGGTTACAAGAAGTTATAGGTCAAATGAAAATCACAATAATAATATCAACAAGGCAGTTTACATACATCATCTCTAATCCCGATCAAAGTCAAGCAAGGTGGACACTATTATCCCCACTTTCCAAATGACTAAAGTGTAGAGAGCTTCAGTAACTTGTACAAAGCCAGATGATAAAGAGGTGTGGAGAGACCTTGAACCCAAGGCAGGCAGATTTCAAAGGTGGTCCTGTCACAAAGGCAGTGAGTCACACTAACTTTTAAAAATCATATATAGGCCGGGTGCAGTGGCTCATGCCTGTAATCCCAACACCTAGAGAGGCCGAGGTGGACGAATTATGAGGTCAGGAGACAGAGACCATTCTGGCTAACACAGTGAAACTCCATCTCTACTATATATTTAAAATACAAAAGACTAGCTGGGCGTGGTGGCAGGCACCTGTAGTCCCAGTTCCCGGGGAGGCTGAGGCAGAAGAATGATGCGAACCCAGGAGACGGAGGTTGCAGTGAGCCTAGATCACACCACTGCACTCCAGCCTGGGTGACAGAGCAAGACTCCATATCAAAAAAAAAAAAAAATCATATATAGACAATCTAATGTTGAGACATGAAAAAAATAGATTATCAATATGTCTCAAAGTTAGCTCCCTTGTAAGACTTGGGGGTCTGCCACCACCCCAAATGTAAATGGATTACGGCTTGTCTGTGCTTTACTCCCCATGGCCACAGTCAGCACAACTCAGAGTCAATACAGGTGTAAGCTGCTCCATTTCTCAGTTTTCTGTGTGTGGCTCTTCACTTTTGTAGTGTGACAAATGAATACAAGGCAGGCATTTTCTTTCTTCCACCAGGTGGTTTTACAGTATTGACTCAAGTCCTTCCTCTCTTCCCCTGAGACCTCTTTGAGGTGGGCCAGTGAGGGTCCTGATCCCTCTACTCTGGCTAGAAATGAGCCCGATGACTTTCACATTCTGATAAACAGAATCAGATGCTATTGAGTGTTTCCATTTGATTGGGTCAGGCAACTGTTCCTGAGGTCACTTCAGTGCCATTTGAACTCAAGAGAATCCATGTATTGCATGAGCCTAAACTTCTAAATTTAATCCAACATTTAGAGAATAAGCATAAAAAGATGACTGTGCAATGTTTTTCTTTTTTTGAGACAGAGTCTCACTCTGTCACCAGGCTGGACACCTCTCGGCTCACTGCAACCTCTGCCTCCCGGGTTCATGTGATTCTCCTGCCTCAGCCTCTCAAGCAGCTGGAACTACAGGCACCTACCACCACATCCAGCTAATTTTTTTGTATTCTTAGTAGAGATGGGGTTTCACCATGTTGGCCAGGATGGTGGTCTCAATCTCCTTTTTTTTTTTGCGACAGAGTTTCGCTCTTGTTACCCAGGCTGGAGTGCAATGGCGTGATCTTGGCTCACCACAACCTCCGTCCCCTGGGTTCAGGCAATTCTCCTGCCTCAGCCTCCCGACTAGCTGGGATTACAGGCATGCGCCACCATGCCCAGCTAATTTTTTGTATTTTTAGTAGAGACGGGGTTTCACCATGTTGACCAGGATGATCTCGATCTCTTGACCTCGTGATCCACCTGCCGCAGCCTCCCAAAGTGCTGGGATTACAGGCTTGAGCGGTCTCGATCTCTTGACTTCATTATCCGCCCGCCTCGGCCTTGCAAAGTACTGGGATTACAGGTGTGAGCCACCATGCCCTGCCGACTATGCAATTTTACCATGATATTTCTCCTAAGTGAATTCAAAGCAAAGCATGGATTGAGTTTGTTCAAACAATGACCAACTCTTAAAACATGTTCATTAGTAAATAGCTCACTCTTCAAAATCAAGAACTCTGGGCTGTATTTTCATCAACTTTTCACACAATTCCTGATGAAGGAGTCACCCTTGCCTATCACCTTCCCTTTAATCAGAACAGGAGTTTTCAAATGGCAGCTGTAATTGTGGGGTTCGAATGGGGTGCTGAGCCTATTCAATACTAATATCTTAGCGAGGAAAACTAAATAGGTTTGGTCCCCTTTAAAAGTGTTTCAGATGGGAAAGACCTCCTTGAATGTTATAAACTTGAATAGGAAAAAATGTCCATTCTCCTTCCCCACCCCCACCCAGTTCCCAGCAGCTTTGTTTGAACCAAGTCTCAAAAAACATGTAAATCTTGGCCCAGACTAAGCAAATCACCTTAAAAAGGAAGGTTAGAGAACTGTTTATTATTTGAAATGTCTCTCTCCAGACCTTATTTTTGATAAATTGGCTTCAGCTTCATTACTTCATGATATATCTCCCTTGACATTTAATTATACTTACTCCAAACACATTAAGCGAATCAGTCTGAACAGCTTCTTATTAATATGCAAATTTCTCCTTTGAAAACCCATGAATCTGTGAAAAATCTCTTTAGGCTTCCATTAAACCCACTCAGGAAGTTGTATACCTCACACAGACACTTGCCTCATTCACTGACTCAATGATTCAGCATTTACTAATTGTCTGAGTTAACTATTCTGGCCACATCAAGGGGAGGTGGAGGGGACGGGGAACCAAATGGGATTCAGAAGCTGAACACTTAAAAGATGAATGATCAGAGGCCAGGCTTGAATTAGTGGCTGGTAATTAGAGCTCAAAATCAAGGCTCTTTGCAAGCACAATCAGCCAGATGAGTTGAAACAGCTTTAAGGGGAGAAGCCGCAGACTTGGTTCACCAGTGACTTCTCTGGCAATTCTGGTTTGGAAGAAGACAGGCTGCCGACCACAGGATCTTCCACACATAGATCTCCCATGCCATCCCCAGTGCTGGCTGCACTTGTATTCCTTTGCAATTGTATTTGCAAAGAATCTGATTGTCATCAGGTAACACAGGGTGGGGGCATAGGGAGAGCAATTCTAATTAGCGATGGTGCTAGGAAGACCAGGGGCTGACCAGGAGAATGCTGAGTTTAAACTAGGAAACAGGGTCCTAAACCTGTCAGGGGTCAGAAGCAACAACTTTCAGAAATTAAGAAGCAAAGCCTAGTGCTTCAGGAGCTAGCTGAACACCTAGCAACAAGGAGATGGAGGCAATATCGTGAGGAAATGAGTTTTCCAAGACAGAGTCCAGGACCCGAGGTGGGTCAGAATGAAAGGGGAACAAAGTATAGATCGGCACAAGCAAGATGTCTGGGCATTAGGAGTTTACCAGAGAGTCGCTCTTAAGTATCTGCTGATGGAATACTGAAAAGGGGGAGACAGTCATTTTCCATAGTCCTATGAGACAAAAGTCTGACATTCAGGACATCCAGGCAGCAGAAGATGGAGGCCTCGGAGAGCAGCATGCAGGATTCAGGTTCTGGTGGTTTTTATCATCTTTGCTGAATATTTCCAAGACATATTTGCAACTAGTAAATAGTATGGTTACACATACACACACACACACACACACACACACACACACACTATGCTTTGACTGATGATGAAAATGGAGGAAATATAATAGGTTATTTTCAGTGACATCTGGATCTCACCCTGAATAATCTCATCTACTCTAGACCTCAGTTCCATCATCTTATCAAAAAAGGACAACAGCACCTGCTCCATTATTTTTATAGTGTTGCTCTAAGAATAGAATACGTCAAGATTGTGGAGGAGGGGGAAATGTGTGAAGTGTAGAATATCTACATGTGTAAGTTAATATATATATAGTCAAGTCAGGCTTTCTCATTTGCATACTAGCCTTGTAAATGGCACCGACTGCTAAATAGAAATCAAACTGCTTAATAAGAGAAACAGGAAAGAAACTGATATTTAATAAATATCTGCTATATCCACACACTGCTTAAGGTGACTTTTGTAGGTGATCTCACTTTATCCTTACAGCAACCTTGAAGAAACAGAAAAGGGAAGTGTCATCATACGAATTCCTTTCGGAAGGAGTAAAGTCTGGAACAGAGACTGTTTTCAGTGAGTTCCCAGATCTTCAAAAGGGAGATAAAAATAAGAATGAATATACACAACCAGTTCTTATAATCTGAAGTTGTGAATTTGTTCGGCAACTGTGTATCTGTCATTTGAGTTTGGTTACATTTGTTGCAAGAATTTAAATCAAAATAACAAAAAAACAGAAAAAATCTGATTGCTTCAAGATAGGAAGATGTTACTTTCATGGAAACAACTTCCTAAATCTTTGAATAGGGTCTGTAAGTTGATCAAATAGGGCAGCAATAAACCAAAAAAGAAAAAAAAAAAAAAACAAAATGTTAAATTATATTTATTGTCGTCAAAGATCATAGACTCGAGTATAAAGTTCTTTTCTTCCTTGTATGAAATTACTGCCTTATATTTAATGCAACAAATCAAAAGAGAAAGAACTTAATATATGAAGTACTGTAAATCCCAGAAGAGCTTCTGAGAGCATTTTCACAGATGTCTCAGAGAAAGAAATTAGGATAAATGTAGTGTTTTTGGGAAAACTAACCAGAAATAGCTATGTGGGTACTTTCTTTTTTTTGAGACAAAGTCTCGCTCTGTCACCCAGGCTAAAGTGCAGTGGTGCAATCTCCACTCCTGGGTTCAAGCAATTCTCGTGCCTCAGCCTCCCAAGTAGCTAAGATTATAGGTGCCCACCACCACGCTCTGCT